CAGAGCTCTTCCCAGGGGCGGCGAGGGCAGGGGAGCGGAGCGGAGGGGGCAAGTGGGGGGCGAGGGCTGGGGAGCCAGAGAAGATATGTACAAAATTCGACTTGCACGGTCAGGGGAGTGGATGCTATGAGCAAACCGGTTTGCGAGGCGCACACGGAAGATGACCCCTGTGAATAAGTGTCTTGCACTGCGCCCAGGAGTAGGTAACTGTCTAAAAAGCACTGCAACGTGGAACTCACAGGTCCTGGAATGTGCTTTGAGCTTGTTGCTATTACCTCGTGTAACAGGCGCTGCACACGGCTTGCATATACGTGCATGAAATTGAATTTATACAGTGAAGTCTGGAGGCAGGGTCTGGCAAGGGGGATAATTGTGAATTCAGTAAGGGAGAGTACAAACAGTAAGGTTACTGAAAAGGACAAATGAACTGGAAAAAATTCAGACCATGACACGAGGAAGCCATTACATTCATCTTTTCATGGTCTTGAACATCTTGTACGAACTCAGCTATAATACGCAGCGGAAACCTCTAATTAGACACAGAAAACGCAAGTATTTAGCTGTGCCAGGAAAGCATTGAAAACATAAGCTTTATGGACACATGATTAAGATCCATAGCATAAGAGAGAAGTATATCTTTTTTTTAAGTTCTCTTTTTATTTTTAAATATATTTTTATTGATTTCAGAGAGGAAGGGAGGGGGAGAGAAAGATAGAAACATCAATGATAAAGAATCATTGTTCGGCTGCCCCCTGCATGCCCCCCTCTGGGGATCGAACCTGCAACCTGGGTATGTGCCCTGACCAGGAATTGAACGGTGACCTCCTGGTTCATAGGTCGATGCTCAACCACTGAGCCATGCCAGTTGGGCGAGAGAAGTATATCTTTACATTTTTTTTGTATTTCAGTCATTTCCTTAGCATACATGTGACTCACTGGTAGGTATGAAAGTTTGAAACAATTAGGATTAATCATTATGTGCAGAAAAACCTGCTCCAAATTTTAAATAATTGTTATGATCAATTTTTTTTTACAGATTGTAATGTTTATATGATGTGAGTTCAGTAAGGAACTAGAGACTGAGCCTAACTGCCTAACGAACTATGTCAAATGTTGAATGAAAGGAGGAATGAGGAAAAGAATGAATGTGTAGCCATTATTCTTTGATGGATTAGAGCCGTGAACGAAAGTGTCATGCAAGAGTAATGCCAGCCCTACCACTGACTCATGTGTGACCCAGTGCAATGGGAATAATGCTGACAGCATACCTACTTCACCAGAGGGGTGGGAGGACCTATCCTTACTCACCAGGTGCTTGGAGATCTTTGGAGGGAGATGACCTATTCATTCACTATCAATAATACATCACTGTTATGACAACCATATATAAAATAGCAAAAGTGTAAAATAATGTTTAAATACAACTGTGCCACCACAGTTTTTCATGTGTAGTCTATCAGGTACTGAAATACAGTGTGGGAGGCTGTATCCTTTCATAAAATATTTGGCTTATAGATATTTCAATGGTCGGTGGACAAGTAGTTCATGATGTGCAATGGAAGTTTGTAAAAATAATCCTTATTCGAGTAGAGTTTGTGGTGATGGTATTTTATAAGAGGATTGAAACCTCTAGCCTATGAAGTACCAAAGAGAAAACTAATTTATGATAGATTCCTAATTTGATTTGTGGTGAGAGACCTTCTTGCTGTAATTTCCTGTTGCTCGATGACTGAAAGTCTAGGATTAGAGATGTACTCAATCAACATTTTAAGGGACCTACTGTGTGTCAGGCATTGTTCTGTGTTTGGGATAGAGCAGTAAATAGACAAAACTGGCTTAATGTTTCAATGTTTTTGGTCTCTAGTTAAATACAGATCATCTTAGGAATAGCAATACCTTACATACATCTTTGGTTCCTGGTCTTTCCAAGAGACCCCTTGAGAGGGAAAGAAAAAGTCGCCACAGAGCGATACGTGGTATTAACTTGAATCAAAAGGCAGTTACCATCCTTAATCAGTCTTCTTCTATTTAAAAAATCATAAGAAAACCATGCAATACTGTCTGTTTTCATCATTCTCCATATTAAAGTTGCCCTCATCTTTCTTAATGCCCTCTGCAATCATTTTAAAGCTATAAATGCCCCCACTTGTTTGTTTTAACCAGGGTTCCATACACTTGCACAGTTTGTTGACTGTATGTATGATAGCACCTGGCAGAGGAGTTGGGTAGGCATTGAACTCTAGCCTCTAGCTTCACCTGCTAAGTCATGTGT